TATAATTTTATTTCAATACACTGGCACTAACCAGAGCGCCTAAAAAAATTCATAAAAACATGCCTTCTTTTGACCGAATTAACTATACCCCTCCCTTAAGAAAAGGAAGCCAATAAGGTTCCTTGTTTGGTCAAGGAAGGTTTATGAAACATGAAATGAGAAACAAGGAATCCTCATTCCTCAAGGAAAGACTATGAATACGGCCAATACACCCGTATTCATAGTCCTTCCTTATTTTAAGGATGGAGGAAGTCTCCATGAAGGATTCCTCGATTCTCCAAGGCTTCCTTGTTTCATAAACGGATCTCAAATCTGCCTTCCCGAAGGAAGGAATATTTTACGGATTTTAGTAACCTACTGAGGATAGCCAATAGCATGTCATAATATACATATAGTATATGCATACTTAATATCGTGAATTACGAATAATAAAAGTTATAAAGGCATTGTTGATTAAGGTCCAGTTCCACAATTCACGGTTAATTCTTAACTGAGGTTCAATTTACCAGGTATGTAAATATGAAACCGGAATTTTTTAATAGAAAATACACGTTTATTGCATGAAAATGATACAAAATAATTTATTCGAAGTATTGCCCATCGCTAGCTATACATTTTTCCCACCTGTCTGACAATTTGTGGATGCCACGCCAAAAAAATTGTTGCTCTTTTGAGCCAAACCAGTCATCTAGCCATTTTCGTACATCTTCGTAAGAAGTGAAGCTCTGCTGAGCAAGTGCGTGTCCCATCGATGCAAATAAGTAGTAATCGGACGGGGCCAAGTCTGGTGAGTAAACCGCATGCGAAAGTATTTCCCAACCAAACGCCTCAATCGTTTCCTTGACCAGTTTTGCTGCGTGTGATGGTGCATTATCATGAAGCAAAATCACTTTGTGTTGCCTTTTTTGATATTCCAGTCATTTTTCACGCAAAGCTTGATTCAAATTGATCATTTGTTATCGGTAGCGTTCAGTATTAACTGTTTCATCAGGTTTTAGCAGCTCATAATAGATCACACCTTTCTGATCCCACCAAACACAGAGCATTGTCTTCCGTCCATAGCGATTTGATCTTGCAGTCGATGTCGATGGTTCGCCTGGAGTTACCCATGATTTTTTACGCTTAGGATTCTCAAAATATATCCACTTTTCATCAGTCACAATTCGATGGAGAAATGACTTTCTTTTGTACCTGGCGAGCAGCATTTCGCAAGTGGTTTTTCGGTTTTCCTGCTGTCTTTCATTCAGTTCATGTGGAACCTATTTTCCCATCTTCTGGATCTTTCCCATGGATTTCAAACGTATGAAGACGGCTTCTCGTGTCAAATTCAATTGATCCGCGAGTTGTTGAGTTTGAGCGTCATCCTCATCCAACAATGCTTGCAATTCGCTGTCTTCAAACTTTTTCGGTGGTTTTCCACGTTCTTCGTTTCTCAGGTCAAAAACGTCACTTTTGAATTTTTTAAACCACTCAAAGCACTGTGATTTACCAAGAGCATGCTCACCGTAAGCTTCGACAAGCATTCGATGCGATTCTGCAGCAGTTTTCTTCAAATGGTAACGGAAAATCAACGCTGTCGGCAAATTGTAGTTTCCAGGCACAAAATTCGACATGTTCAACGCTATTACAAACAATACTGTTGTATGAAACTTGTATTGTTGTGAGT